GAGAATCCTCTGACCTTACAAAAAGGAAGACAGAAGTAAAAGATACCCCTCAGAGGCTGACAGTTCCTCTGCAATTGTTGTGCTTTTGTACTCCTTCCAAATACCAGGGGGGGAAAGTGATGACAGGACACAACAATTTATAACAGCTGCTGATTTACACACACTAACCTGAAAAAAAATAGCTTTTCCTCAAACATAGCATGGTAACTTGGAAATTCTAGTCTGTAGTCCTCTACCTTATTTCAATGTCATAGGAACTGAAATTGTTGCTAAGTATAAGTTTACAACATATGCAAATCCACATTTCACACTATTTCATCTACCTTCTGGGGAGGGAAATAATTCCCTCCCCAGAAACAGACAAATGTGTTTGCATTACTATTCAGTCAGATGTGGACTGCATTTATTCCCACTAACAAAGAAGACTCCTTTATGAGGCTGCAGATAACATACTCACTGAGGAAATCTTCAGGTTCTGGTCTGACCTTTCTGAATTCAACTGATTGGCTTCTCTTTGAAAATGAGCTTTAAAAATCTATTATCAATTATGTTCTCTCACCACTCCTTTTCATGTAAGGAGGCAGAGGAAACATCACAAACTACATTACTTAAGTCATGATGGAGAGCTTTGCCCTTTCAGAAGTCTGAAATACAATTATTCAGAAAATATTTTGACTGGCCATCATTTTTTATGCCATCATCAAAGCAGGACTTATCTGATCCTGTCTTTGCCTACCCTGAAATCCTGGAGTATAAGATGAGCACCCAGAGTTTCTGCCTCTCCCTTTTGAGCAAGAAATTTCCAAGCCATGACTTACAGGGAAGTGGAAAGGGAAGAGAAGGCTGAATTCTGTGGCCCAAAGCAAGGCTGCTGGTAAACTGTAGCAATGTAATGTTTATAATCAGTTTTACTTCAGCTGTTGAACTGGCTGGTTCCAGTTCCATAAACTCCCAGTGAGAAGAAATGAGACTGCAGTGTTTTCATTTGTGCTAATCTACAAAGGAAGTTGTTCCCTTTTTTCCACACATACAACTAATTGCCTCAAGAAACACACCAAATTAATGAGTGAAGCAGGAGATAAAAATTCTTTTTTTTTCTCTGTGTATTATTCCCAAAAAAAGATAACAAGCTGCTTCTTTGACACAGGGAACAGATTTTAAAAACAGTATCCTGAAAGGTGAAACACAGCCCCAGGATAAAAAACAGGATACAGTCAAAAATCAGACATCCAGGTTAATCACACTGTGACTCAGAGGTCATCATTTCCCTAAACACACAGACACACTGTGGTAGGGTGGCTGGCACATGTGCTACTGTGGAGGCTAAAAACAGGAGGGAACTCCAGGACATGGCAGAAGTTCTACTGTAAATTATCTATAAAAGGCAGAGTAAATGAATTCTAAAAAGGTATGTGGTGCAAAAATCTGGTTTTTATTTTAATTAGAGGAGCAAACAGTTCGGTAAATTCCTACCTGATGCATAAGAATGGAATAACTTGAACCAAGTTTGAAGGTGAAGCTAAGGAAGAGGGAACATTTGCGACAAGTTTTGCTAAGCACATACTCTGGATAATCGATTTGGAACCTTCAAGAGTATCAGCTGGAAGCAACCAAGGTAATAAACATCTATCCTCTAAACTGTCATTCCTAAAATACATGCTTGGCACAAAAAGGGTAGAACACTGCATTTATGCCTTCTTGGGCTGGAGTAACAGCTGCAGGCTTTTCAGAGCCCTTTAACACTTTTTTTTTCTGCCAAGAAACAATACGATCATTGATTTTATGAACTGGTAAGAGTGAAGGAATTTGTCTTAGAGGACAGGTGCTCCAATCCATGAACCTATCAATTCATCAATGCTTTGTAAGACCCTTTGTCTTTTCTTGTTGCTCCAAAGCAGTGACAGCACAATGCTCAAATACTGTAAATGCTTATTCTTAGAATAACAACAAGAAGTTTCTATCCTTCTTTCTGTGAAATTTTAATCTGGATCAAAGAAAGGCATGAAACTTTGATTTAATATGAAATTTGACTTTTTTTTCTACCCATGAACATAGTTGTCAGGACAACACTGTCAAGGTGAAAAATAACAGAAAATTGCAAAAAGATTTGTTTCTCCTCCTCCTCATATGATTGACATATAGCCAAAAGCACCACCAAGGAATAGAGCCCATGTATTCAGAAAGACAACTGAACAATAAATCAAGTAAGGAACTTCCAGACACAGCACAGTCAGTGAATACTCACCACTGCACTTTCTTAAAAAATATATGAATCTCTAAGAACTCATATCACCAAGCAGCTTACCTGCAGCAAAGCATGCTTCTCCCCCTAAGTTAGGAAGCCACAACTGTTTTAGTGTCTCTGCGGACAAAGAACTATTCAGGTGGGACAAAGAAATTTAGGCACCATTTCTTCTAAAAATGGATTTTCTTTTATTTATCCTTCATGTATTTGCACATCCATACTGTGCTCAACTGAATGTGGAGGGGGAAAACAGCTACCACAGCTTCAAAGAGCTCACAAATTTCTCACATTAGGGAAATAAAACTCCATGGGCAGCTTCTAATCATTCCTGAAGCTTCTGAAAGGCCTACTACTATTACTACAAACAGCAGGTGGGAAAGGAAAGCTCTCACATTCGAGATGCAAAGCAGAAAAGATACAGCTGCAAAGTGAACCTTGGCGGAAGAACTCAAACTCTTCAGTTTTCAAGAGGCACCAGCAGGAATAAATGCAGTCTCATCCTTACTGCATGAGATTTTTCTGGTGGTGGATTTTGTGAAACCCAGATATTCCTGTATCTAAAGAGCTGTTACTGAAAACAGTAGAAAGCCATATAAAGGCTGGGGGTTTTAAATATTTTTAAGAAGCTGTATTATTTAAAGCAGAAAACTAACTCTAGAAATGAGGCTGAAGAAATGAGTGGAGGAGGAAAAGGATCCAGGATTTCTGCAGATTACTTGGTGCTAAGAACAATCCTAGTTATCATCCTCAGCCCTAAAGAACATACCTCTGGTATATTAGGCGGTAAACCTGTAAATGATGGCTTGATGGATCTATAGCAGTTTCCAGTTTCACTTGAAAGGATGAAATACCACTTATTACCACTTTTTCTCCTAACTTAGATTCAATCTCCTTGTGCCTTTGTATCTCAGCAGTAGCCACCCTTTAGCTTCTGTTCTCCATGGGCTTGAAAAATCTCAAAACTGGCACAATACACACAAGAAGTATTGTTTTTTATCTTGGGGCAAAAGATGTCAGTGGTGTAGTGGCCTTTATTTCAGGTAGGCCCTGTTTCTACAAACATCTTCCCATACATGCCAACCACAGATGTTCTGCTATTGATATATATCATCACCTCGATACCCCAGTGAGTGCATAGATCTCACCAACAGATATTCCATCAGGTACCATTAACAATCTTTCCTTATTCAAAAGCATTTGTATCCAGTGGAACTGCAATCATGAATGCACACTCAGCAGAAACAGTGACATCTATATATGCATAAGACATCTAAAATTAGAAAAGATTTATCACATTTTAAGTCTGTGAGCAAACTTCAGTGTGACTAGGGTACTTAAAATTAACATCCCTTGCAAGAGGTGTTATCTGCCAGGGGCAGTTTCCTCTGCCTATCTCACAATTAAAATTTAGAGTTCAGAGAATCTTTCAAAAAATTAGAACACAGAAGTTGCAAGTGAATTGATTTTCTTTGCTATGTTTTGCTAAATGGTAGCTTTTGCTGTGTTCTGCTTAATCCACAATTAGAATATCCTCTCTAGACATTACATGTTTATAAATTCCTCCTTATAATTTGCAGCCAGTTCTTCAAAACATAAGACACCTGTTGGAAACTGCATCTTAAAGGTTACTTTTAGTCTTAAATGTCATGTTTGCAATAGGTTGCAGAAAATAGACAACAACAAAGTAAGAACAGTCATTAAATCACTTCTCTGTAGAGAAAAGTTCTATTATACAAATTAAATACATACACCATTAGAGCTTGTAGTTGAAGTCTAATGATCCCCCCATCAGTCAATGTTACAAATTAGAAATCTTTAGGCAAGGCAATAAAGACACTACTGTTTCAGTACAGAAGCAGTGGGGTAAAGCCTCATCAAGTTTTCCACCAGGGAACCTTCTAAAAATCTCAAGTCATAATACAATTAGCTATACATCCTGATTTTAGAGATGCCCTCAACAGTGAACTTTCTCTCTCCTTCAGCCCAGAGTGTTTTGACCTCCATCTCCCAGGAAGTATCTCCCCAGAGCCTGAAGAAATCCTCCACTGCTTATTTTCAAGCTCACACGGTGCCACTGATATCTTAAATTGAGCATGACTTACTACACATGCACAAGTCAGAAAAACAGTGCTGTTTGAAACTTTTTTTTCAGTCTTTGACTAAAAGCTTTCCTGAATCAATAATACCAGACTCACAATATTTTATCATATGCCATGAAAAACATCCACAGAAATAACAGATATACAGCCCTGTTACCTATATTAGGGATTATTGCTTCCGACAATTTAGGCTTAAATTTTGATTGTAAAATCTTTCGGGTGGTTAAAAAATACGAAACATGTTTTTAAGACATGTTCCAAATGTAAACACAAATTAGTTCTTACAAACTAGTATTTTCAAGGTTATATAGCGACATTGTGTATTGACAAGTTTTGCCTGCAGTTTTTTTGTATAATACATATTGATTCTGAAGGTTAAATATAAATATATATTTATATTTAATATAATATAAATATAATAATATATATAAATATAAAAATATAAATATAAATTCTTCATAAGCATTTTCATTAAATTTTCAAGCACAATCCCATTTCAAATGAATTAAGTGTCCCACTATCTCAGAACTTTGGGGAAAACAAAAAACAGTACACTGAACACTCTCACAACTTAGTACAAGAAATGGTACAGGCAACATGAAAGCTGCTTGTTTCCTTGCTATTGCAACACAGCCAGAAATATTTGAGTAACTTACTATTTTCCAAGCAGAATCTTGGAGAGATCCTGTTCAAAAGAAGTTCCTGTCGTAATCGAAGAACTTCAGCTTCCAGCACTTCCACTTTCCGCTTCCATCCAAAATCTTGTTCGGATACAATTTTGGAAAGGTACTCTGTGTATTCTTTGGAACTCTTCCCTGGTGGTTTTGAGTGGATAATTGCAAAAGCCAATGCTAGTTTTGATATTTTCAAATACGAAATTTGATTTTCTCTTCTGCCTTTGATTTCTATTGTGTTAGAAAAACAGAAAACAAAAAGGTTACTTCACTATGACTCCATTAAGGAAATTATGCACAATATCTTCTTGTCTTTGAAAACTGTTCAATAGTGAGACCAATTCTTTAATTTCTAGTGCATTCCTAAATCACCAAGGAGAACAGAAACACAATCATCTGTGCAAAAACAGAACATACCATGAGCTGCGCTCAGCTATAAAAATAAAATCCAGTGTTTGAGAATAACTGTGGAAATAGTAAGCACTTCAAATAGGCTTATCCTAGCAAAATTTTAAAGGCAAATGTAATCTCCACTAAAACAAGGATGAAAGAAGTAAAAACATTAACCTCAAGAAACCCACCCTGACACTCCCTCCCCCCCGCAAAAGAATTCTAAACCTATGACAGAAAAATTCATTTGGGATTATTTATACTTAAATACAATACATATAATTTCTTGAAAGTTTAGCATAAAGTCACAGTACTCAAAAGATAAAACTTTGAGGTTGTCTCTGGTTTTGTACACCTGGTATTGATGCCCTTGACGTTTTAAGTCTGCATTAAGCATCAAGTTTGCAGAAAGCTAAGCAGACAACTTCAAAGTGATGCAAGTGCCTAGTAAGGTAACAGAAGACAGTTCTATAAGCTTTGTTACAAACAGTGAGGATGGGGAAAAGGCATTATTAAGAGTCAGAGAAATAAAATATTTAAATAGATAATTCCATCATGTGCAACAGCACAGAGCCTAGGAATAGAGACGGAAAATGGGAAATTAAAACAAACTATTATTAACCACTCTATCAAATTAGAAAAGTTACTTTTTTTTTTCCTAATTCCACACCATTTTCATTCAGTTGTTCAATGTATTCTTTTCCTGAAAAAACATCACTCCCAAAATGATAATTTAAGAAAAAAAAATCACTTCCTACACTTTCACCCTAACCTTGACATCTATGTTTTTCTCCCAATGCTGTTTTTTTCTTGTTATCCGTCAAAACTATAGGTTAAGCACGATTAAGTTGTGTTGAGCAACTCTGAAAAAGTCACAGCACAGGTTTCAAAAAGTTATTTTAGGTCATCCTTTCATCAGATCATCTGCTATCACTAAGCTGATTTCTTCCTCTGGTTCTACTCAACTTTGGATAGTAAGTCATAAATCATCATGTATTCATTTATCCATCAGGGACACTTACAGAAAGCACTGCTTTTTAAGTATTTCTTTCACTTTTAAAATACTTCTGAAATGCACAAACAATCCCTGTGCACTCCTTGCACACTGTCCATTCAGACACAGCAGACAGTTAACACTTTATGTAGTACAGAGCACAAAGGACAAGAGTGCAAAAATTCTTTGGGATCTATTTACCTACAGCTATATTTTAGGCTACTCTTCTCTCTACTTGAAACACTCCATTCCTGTTGTGTGTCAAGGCAAAATCATCTAAGCTAAGCCACCAGTGCATTCTTAAAGTTAATTAAATAGTAAACCTTTAGAAACTGAACTATACAGTATGTATCCCTTACTTAAAGCAGTTATACACTAAATGGTACTTTTGCAAAATTTCTAATAAAGAAAATCTATTTCACACAACTTTTCAATTAATATCTAGAATTTCAGTGAGAAGCAGAAATTGATTCTCTCAGTCTCAAAGGATTATCACAACTGTGGGACAGCTAACTGGTGTAAGACTCTTGCTTGCCTAATACATCAAAGGAAATGTTTAAAAATACAAAAGCATGCAAGTAATGGAATTGCCTTCAAAGCTGTGAATAAAATGAAATACATGGAACACACTGAAAGGAGATTAAATAGTAAGATATCCAAAACATTGGGCTTTGAATCTGAAAGGTGCTTCCCAGATTATCTCATCAACAGAAATTTAACCCAGATATTACTCAAACAGTGCTTGTCAAGCACCATTTTTACCAAGTCCCTGTGCAGAGCAGAACAATAAATTAGGGCAGGCAGAAAAATGTCTTAAACCGCTTGTTTAACATTTTGGTACCTCCAGAGACTACTCTGCCAAAGCCTTCTGATTCATCTTCCTTTTAAGGACAAACACATATTTACTTTCTGCTTCATAACATGCTTTGTCAGTATTAGTATTTTTCTTTAAATTATTTTCACAGAAGCTGCAAAATGACCAACACTCAAGTATGGGCCAGGGAGTGGTATTTATTCCAGCATTTTATGAATGCTCAGGTGCCTTTTATCATCAGAGTCATCACCAATGCCTTATTTTTTGTATTCTGTTTCTCCTTACAGGGCATAACATTATATAGAAAATACAAAGTTTGCTGTCTGACCACTGACATATTACCACTATGCTACTAGTGTGAAATGTTACTTTGGTAGCATTTTCTGACCACCCACCCATTACCAAAATAAAAGAGACTCACTTTTTCATTTTGTTTTGAAAGGGACTGGTATGTTTTAAGCATAACAAAAACCTTAGCGCACAAGGTAACAGTACAATGGAGACAAGTAAAAGGAACTTTCCACCACAACATTCCAAAATGCTATTTTCTGAAGTAGATGTATCCCTAGTGAGTCATATAAAACCACATGAACCATTACCTAATTTTGCTTTGAGAATCTTAAATAGCATTCCACCTTAACACTTAAGACATACATTTAATTAATGAATTAATGCATTTTGGGGTTTGAGGGAGGCATTTTCCTCTTTATTATCTTATACAGACTCATTTCTATAGTAGGAGTGCCTTACACTGAATGAGTCTAGGGAGATATTCTGGTGGCAAAAAATCACTCATTTTCTGGAAAAATTACTTGTAAAGATGCTGTTAGAAAAAAAAAAAAACAACTCTACAGCAGGACAGATCACAAAAAACAGCTGGTTCTTAGGAAAAAGACACAGTGCAGTTTTTGGAGAAGTCATTCTGTTGGAATCACAAAATCTCTTGTTTAAAAACAGATAATTAATGACAAACAGCAATATTCCTGAATGCATTTCCAGAAAGAAGAGACTTCTTAAAGATTCTATGGAGCATATTCAGATCTTTCACTTGTTTTCTGTTAGTGACACTATCACCATCTCTCCTCATTTCTTCTCTAGTTAGGAAAAGATAAGTTTGTGTATTGAAAAGCAGAAGCTCTAAGAATTGATTGAGGTTTTTCACCATTCGCCTAAAGGGACAACTGCTCTCTCAGAAACTACTATGTAACTCTTCTAGAAAATAGCACACCGGATGACGCTATTAGAAATATGGGGATGCTGGCCAACTGTGCATTAGCAAAAATTGCACAGCAATCTGTTGCTCTCGGGAAGTGCTGAACCACCAAATATATTCCACTGAAAGCATATTGGCAGCTACAGAGTTTTATCAATAATGTTTTTGCTCCTATCAGCACAGAAATTACACCACTGGTTGGCCAGAAAAAAGTTTTAGAAGCAAACCAAAAACTTTCTTTGACTGAGACAAGTACCCAAACAAGAGTAGAAAACACTCACCAGTCTAATTCTAGCTGCTAATATATAAATGACATAAAGACAAAGAGGAAGGTTCAAGAATGATGCAAAGCTTCATTCCTGTCATTACTCAGTGTTAAGGAGAAAACCAGTAATCCCTTGCAAACTGCTGGAAGCAGGGCCCAGCTCACTAACAACACATACCATCTGGCGACAGGTTCCCTATGCAAACCCCTCAATCCACAAGCTGATACTGGAAGAGCTCTCACAGGACACGATTAGTTAAAAACACTGTTGAACAGGGCGAAGTCTACAGATCTCCAACACAAGAACAACATTCCATGCTTCCAGCTCTCATGCAGGGAAAGGGTACTGAGAACCCACAGACCTGCTGAGATCCCAGCCATAGAAGACTGCTGAGAAATTATTCACCGGCTGAAATAATTACAAAAGAAATGATCAACGGTCTCATTCAGCTTTGTTTAACCTAATCAAGAGGAACTGAGATATGGTACAAGATCAACTGAAGACCTTTGAAGTAAGTAGGAAACAGGATAACAGAAAGAACCAGGATAAATCTGATTCACAAGCACTACCCTAATTGACCAACCTGCCAGTCCTGTTTTGCAGCTGCATTTGATGCAGCAGCTCACATGAAGAGATTGAAATGTTAAGGGTTAATGACTCAAAGAATCGGCCATGTGCAGAAGGTGATTTTAAGAAGTCTTTAAGGGATGTTTATGGGTAAAGGAGGTGAATTTTATATAATTTACTCTTTTGAGTGGTACATACAGTTTTCTCACTGACCTTGGAAACAGGTAACTCAGAGAGAAACGGGGGGAAGATAGCTAAATTATGCTATGATTTAAAATTATAGGGTATCTCAAACCAAACCCAAGACCTAAACTCACTTGGAATAATTCAACACTTTGACTCATTAATGTCAAAGAATTATAGATCTTAGGTGTGATTTCCAAGTTTGGCCACAAAAATCATGGCTAATAATGGAGGAAAGTGCTGCAAATGTCATAGACAAAACCTTATTGATTATATCAGGACACTCATTTGTTATTCAGACCACTAACATATAAATTTCAAAAATAATTTAAAAAATGAATAGCATAAGATACAAAAAAGACTGTAATTCATATAATTTCCAGGCCATTCCAGGGCTCAGGTTTTTTTCAGTGAAACTTTTATTTAAAAATAAGATTTGTTGGGACAGAAACAAATTACCATTCACCACTACCACACAGCTAAGAATCTTCAGACAGCCCTAAATATAAGAAAAAATGCTTTTCCTTCTAAATTTAAGAGTATGGTCTGTCCTTAAAGGTACAACCATTCAAGAAAAAAACTGGTTTGTTGCCATGAATTTCACTTTAACTAGCCTGTCAATTTACACAGTGCAAATAAGGTGAAAAAATTACCCACGTCTTTGTAACCTCATCTGCTTTACACAATAGAAACCAAGACATTGACTCATTATGATGGAGCACAAAATGGTGCAATTGCTCTAACGGAACTGGGCTGAACTCAGACACTTACAGCCACAACATTAAGCAACAATAAAATAAACTTGATTTAATTGGTATGCCTAGCACAATGTCATTTGTATATATAATAAACAATGATAATGGGACAGCTACATAATCAAGATGAACTGAAGTATGCCTTGTGTTCCAATTAAGCAGCTTTTATTGTAAAAGTGTATATTAAACCAAGGCTACTCCACAGTGTCATCTTTAAACAACCTATGCTCATAATACACAAAGATATGTAATGTGGAGATAGTCAATGAGGGAAGAACTTGCTTTTCATACAATAAGCTTAACAATAACTCCAGCATATTTTTTTCAAATGGACTCAAAATGGTAAAACAATATTAAAAGTAATAAATATTTAAAATACTTTATTTCAAAAGCACAAGGAAGCTTAAATGTGGCATGATTTATTTCTTCAAACTCTAACTTTTAAATAATTTTAGATTCTAAAATAAAATCTTATAAATTCTCCAAATCCAAATAACAAGAATGAGTTGAAAAAAAAAATTTTTAGAACTTACTAATATTCCCGAATTATAACCATTTCAGAGAATTTAAGAACATAAGCAAGCATAATCCTTCCGGATTTCTGTAACATTTTTGATGTAGATTTATCGCCTCAACAACAGAAACCTACAGTTTAGATGGCTACAACTGAGCTAGCTGTCTAGACTTTTATGGGCAGAAACAGAGATTTCTAAAATTAAAAATAAGCCAAGTCATCTGTACATTTTGTGGTAAAGTCATGACCCAGAAACATTTGTTTCCCCCCATGGACTACAAAGAGTGTTAAGATGACTACATCAGATGCACACACATGTACTGTGGACAGTCAACTGCTCTGAGATGAGCTGGTGCACCACAGGCAGCTAAAGCTGAGACCTTCAAAGACCTATTTAAGGTACCTAACTAACTAACAACAGAAATTCTGCAAGGCTGAGAGCAGCACCCCTTAAAAGGCATTTGTAATTTTAGATCTTTTCGCTATCTCTCAGAGGGGAAAAAAAAAGCCTTCTAGAAGAAAACTCGAAAGTCATGGAAAAAAGTTTGTGAGAATAACCTAGTGAACATATTACAGTGCACACAATAGCAGACAGGTTCAAATAAAAGACATGAGAAACATCAAATACATTCAGAATTATATAAGCATAAAAAATCAGTTTGGCTCCTCAAAGTTTCTTTGCCTCACTCTTCAACAAGATCATTTGAAAATAATAAATTAAGCCTGAGTTTTACGGTAGTTTAAAACTGTGTATATATATTCTCCCTATTCTTCCTTTTACACACCTTCTTCTCCTCCAACAGGCCTTTCTTATGTGTCACTCACAACAATATTTAGTGAATCTGGCACACAGTCCCATTACTATGTTTCTCTTTACTATTCTGACTACTAAAGAAACTAATGTGTTTCCAGAATAGGGAATTTATTCTACAAAACCTGCTGCTCAGAAATTAAAGTATAACTCAGTGGTGTACATTTATCTATTCTTATGTCAGCACAGATTTCTTCTGCTACCAAAACAGAACTGTGCTCACTTAATCAGCCGCATGTAAATCCACTTGGTTTGGGAACTGAGGATATACTTTTCATTAGAGCTTCATGAGATGAAATTTATGAAACCATGAAATTCAGGCCCTCATTTTTTTACAAAGTTTCATATATGCTTATAATAATTACATAAAGAATAAATTTACAACTGCCATTTGGACTGTGGAAAACAATCCCAGCCTTTATACACCGTCAAGTTACAACAAGAAAGCAGCCCGTAACTCCCCAGTTTTACCTATTGCCATGACTATAGTAGCTTTTGAATGCATAATTTCAAAGCAGAGTTCAAAAAAAAATAATCATCGAGAGTTTGGAGGATTATACAAAGACTATTTTGCTTATCTCCTCTTCCCATGTTTAAAATATAGTGACTAAAATATCACCATAATTTCCTTTCCAGTTTCACCCTTTCAGCCTTCACCTGAACAATTCCATTTCCACAGGTTTTTAAACCTACAAGATCAGTATCTTTCAGTGATGCTGATTCACTCAAGTAACCTTCCAGAATGCATCCACTGTGTTTTAAAAATCTTAGTTTTGTGCTTCTTACTGAAATTTAATACAGGCCGAAAGAAAGATGAGATTGTTCACAAGAAAGGAAATGTTTCTAATAGAGGAGAAGGAAAAGAGGGAATACTGCTAGGAATCCAGCATACAGCATGGAATAAAAAATGAATCCTTACATACACAATAGCTACTAACGTAACTATACCCACATTTAAATATGTAGTGTCCAAACAATAATTTATGAAGCACTGGAGCAAACCACAGAAGAGACTTGCCAAGGATTCACAGTGAAGTCCATAGACAAGTGCTTTTTTACACTTTAATCTGGCTCAACATCTAAACCAAGAAGATGATCAGAAGGCTGGAGGACCTCTCCTCTGAATGCAGGTTGAGAGTGGAAGTTGATAAGCCTGGAGAAGAGAATGCTCCATTGTGCCTTTCAGCACCTAAAGGGTATTACAAGAAAGCTGGAGAGGGACTTTTACAAGTGCAAGACAAGAGGGAATGACTTTAAACTGAAAGACGACACATTTAGATTAGATATTAGGAATAAATTCTTTACTGTGAGGGTGAGACATTGGAACAGTGCCTGGAGAAGCTGTGGATGCAAATCTTGGTTTTAGCTGGGACATTTTCTTTTTAGTAGCTGGTACAAAGCTGTGGATTTTGGATTTAGTATGAGAATGATGTTGATAACATGCAAATGTTTTGGCTAATGCTATATAGTGTTTACCCTAAGTCAAGGACTTTATGTCTCATGCTCTGCTACTGAGGAGCTGCACAGAAAGCTGGGAGGTGAGCAAGGCCAGGACAGGTGACCCAAACTGGCCAAAGGAATATTGGGATCTCTCTTCAGAAATGGGATGGACATTGGTGATCAGGAGCTGAGCAACTATCTTCATCACTTATTTCTCTTGGGTTCTGTTATTCTCCCTTCCTTTCCTAATGACAATTATTCTTAATCATATTATAAGCATACGTAGTATTGCTTTTATAATATTTTATTTCAATTATTAAATTATACTTATCTCAACCAATTAGGTTTATCTTTTTTTTTTTTTTATGACTATCCCCGCTGGGGTTGGGGAACTGAACAAAAAGGCTGTGTGGTACTTCGTTGCTAGCCGGGGTTAAACTCCATTGCTGGAACTGTTCAAGACAAGGATGGATTGGATTTTGAGCAACCTGGTCTAGTGGAAGGTGTCCCTGCCCATAGCATAAGGATGGGAATTAGATAATCTTTAAGGACCTAGAACTCCAGGTCATTCTGTAATGAGACAGTATTAATCATTACTTTCTTCTGTCAGTCAATGAGAAAAATCCAAGTGACTAAGCCCTATGATTTCTGAATTCCTAAAGTCAGTCACCGGAAACAGCCATTTCAATTCACTAACATTACAAATAATCAGGTAAAAATATTGATAACTTTGATAATTCCTTGATATTGTATTGTATATATTTATTCACACTTTTTTCTTTTTTTTACAAGAGCACTAACCACATTAACTGAATCCCAGGATCCATCCAACAAAACTTCACAACAGTAGTGTTTTTCCTTGTGACTTAGGTGAAATGTACAGGAGAAAACTTCAGATTTATAACTTAGAAAAAAGACAGACATGTAATAAATAGTTGATAGTCTTCATTATTAATAACCAAAGCAGTGCAGTTTTCATAAGAAGGCTCCCATTTCCTCCCAGATGAACTCAACCTTTCCTCAGGAACCCACTCTTTGATGACCTGGGGCTGCCCACGAAGGCCTCCCGCAGGGGGACGAGGCAGGCGTCCCAGGGGAACCAGGTGGTTGTTCCAGGGGAACGAGGAGCACCGTCCGAAGCAGCCCTGGGCACAGAGTCTGCACATGAGGGATGTCCCCAGAGGCCACTGACACCGCTGGGTGGGAGCATCTCCCGGGCCCGGTGCTCTCCTCCGGGAGCCCTCTCCTAGCCTCCCTCACAGCCTCCCCGGCAGCCCCACAGCCTCGCGCTCCGTCCCACCTGCAGCGGCGGCGGCCGCGCCGCGGGGCTCCAT